TAAACAATGGAGATACAAAAGTCCAAGAAAAGCCAAAGAGACAAAATTTCTTCCAGCCAGCACCAGCAAAAGCTGAGCTAGGAATCAGTTTAAAAATCTAAGCCCTTACTAAATCCCAATCATGAGAAAGTATTAAAATAGCCCTAAAAATAATAAAACCATAAGTACTTCTAACAGAAAAAGATAAACCTTAAAAAATCATTCTCAAGCACCCCACTTTTTATAGTTTGTGACCCTCAGAGTTCTTGTGAATAGAGATGAGTTTCAATTTGTAAAAGATGTCCTGCGCACTTCCTATAATAGCAAGAAGTGGGAACAAGGGGGCTAAGGACAAATATGGAGATCTCAGAGAGGGTAATGCCTTGATTCCCCAATACTGTCCTCTGGGATGCTGGTCAAAGGGAGGTAGGCTTAGAACGTTACTCTCAAGAAACTTATCCTGCCTAGGCTCTCATTTGCCTTAAGTTTAATCTCTCTTTGGTTTAGATTATGTAAATTTAAACAAATTTGTAAATTATGGCATCTTCTTATGAATTCTGCTGTTGGTGGGAAACTTGTGTTTGCCAATGGGTATGATTTAAATATATCTTTCTTGCTCATGGGAAATCTAAACAGGATGAATGTCCACTCTTTCCCCTGTACCTCAATTCATCCGAAGCATGGATAATGCCTCTCTATTAAAAGGACCAAAAACTCTTGTCAAATCTCTCTGCCAGCAGTCTACAAACAACAAGGGTATCAGTAGCCACCAGAACTTTTGTACATAATCACACATAAAAACTTAGATGATGATGCAATGGAAGAATCCATTAGGGGGCAGACAATGTAAATAAATGCTGGCAACTTTTTATGTCAGGAAAGTCTGATCTTTGTCTTTCTGTTTCACCACCCCCCTACTGAGGAAGCAGAGACAGTGTTCCCTCAGTTGTGATTATGCCATCTTGTGGCAGGGGTCCGTTGGCACTCCAGAGGAAAGGGGCAAAGAGACAGACGTACAGAAGTCAGATGTGCTGCTGGACCTTGCTCACTGTGTGAATGAGATGGACAATCTCTTCTTGGAAGACCTCTCTTCCACATGTCTTTAAGGTCAGGTTCACAAAGATTTCACAAAGCTGGTGAATTCTGAAATAGCCTATTAGTGATTTCCAGTCTGACATCTCTATGGAAATGTTCTCTGATCAGCAGCCTGGGAACCAAGGGTTACAGGAGAATTGAGGTCAACTTGATTTCTCTCTCTCTCTCTCTGTCTCTCTCTCTCTGTCTCTCTCAGTCTCTGTCTCTGTCTCTGTCTCTCTCTCTCTCTCTCTCTCTCTCTCTCTCTCTCTCTCTCCCCCCCCCCAGCATGGCAGCTTTATGGCTTGCAAAATATTTTCCTCACAATAATCCTATGAGGTAGTTATTACAAATATTATTATCTCCATTTTACAAATATGGAAACTGAGGTTCAGAGAGAAGTAGTGTTTCATAGTGGATAGGGAACTGGACCTGGAGTCAGGAAGACATGGGTCTGAATCCCATCTCTGAAGCTTGCTTGTTGTGTGGCTGTGGGTAAGTCACTTAGCCTTGCTGAGCCACAGATTTCTCAGCCATGAAATGAGAAGAATACTGTAATACCTAACTCAGAGGATTGTGGTCAGGCTCAAATGAGATAATGTGTGTAAAGCATTTTTGTAAACTTTAGAGCTGTCTATTAGTAATAGGCATTAATGAATATATTGAAATAAGTTGTTCAAGGTCTCCCAAGACACTAAGTGGCCAACCTGGGGCCTGCACCTAGGTTTTCTGGGTCCAGATCTAGGGAACTCACATTGAAATTATCAGGGTCCTAAAGTGCCAAACCATATTGGGAAGATGTAAAAAGGAAACAGATCCTCACTAGCTGTGTGACCCTGGGTAAGTCACTTAACCCCAATTGCCTCACCAAAAAAAAAAAAAAAAGAAAAAGGAAACAATTGCCCCAGTCTCCATTCTCTTATTGTAGAAAGAAAATACCAACACGAAACATACTTACAAAGTAACATTACTAACAGTTTCCTGTTGTGTGTCTAGTTTGTGTTATGATTGGTTCAAATTTAGGGGAAAGAGTAGAGGAATGTTAGGAGCAGGGTGGATTGATCAGGAGAAGCTTTCTTGAAGAGGGGGTTTTAACTGAGCTTGGAAGAAACGGAGGGCCGCAAATTGGTAGAATATCAGGGTGAGAGTGAGGGCAGTTTTTACCTTAGCCTGTGTTAAATTTTGTGATAGGCTATAGGAAGTGGTCAGTCAAACTACAAATATTTATTAAGCACTTGCTATGTGCCAGGCACTGTGCTAAGTTCTAGGGTTACAAAAAGAGGCAAAAGACTGTCCCTAACCTCAAGGAGCTCATGATCCAATGGGGAAGATAGGTAAATTAATATGCACAAACAATCCATAGACCGGATAACAGGAAATAATTAACAGAGGAAAGGCACTAGAATTAAGAGGGTCTGGAAAAGGCTTGCTGTACAATACGGGATTTTAGTTGGGACTTAAGGGAAGTCAGTAGGCAGAAATGGTGTAACACTGAGGGAATATGTTAGTAGTAGATGGGGTCCAAACTTGGCAGGTGAGGACAGTAAAAGAATCATTTATTCTCTCATTAAAAGTGACTAAAAGCTGGTAGGCCCTACTAACTTTTTGCCTTTTTTCACGGAAAAACAATCTCCCTGAATGGTAACAGGGTGTATTCTAAAACACCTAATTGGAGAGAAAGAACCACTGCCTAAGTACAGAGTCCAAGAGACTAGTAATAATTGACTATTAGAGGAAAGAGAAACTACAGCTCTCTCTGACTTATTTCCCAATGGGGTTTAAAAGGATTTTTAAAAAACAGATTTAACTTTAAAGAACAAAACCAAATGAACATATATACGCATACATATATGTGCATATATATACATATGTGTGTGTATATATGTATGTATGTATGTATTTATGTATGTATGTATATATAGCACTTTTGTGCTTCAAAATGAAGCATCTACCATGTTCCAGGCACCATGTTAGGAACTGGGGATACAACAAAAACTCCTTGAGCTTGCACTTGAGTTCCACTGGGGAGAAATAACACATCTATAAATCAGTATATTTAAAATACAGGGTGTCCCACCCTGAATGTACAAAGTAAACAGAAAGTCATTGGAAGGGGTGTATGGGACTGGAACAACACAAATGATGGGACAGTCACTAAAGGGTTCCTGTAGAAGATGGTATCTGAGCTATGGTAGGAAGAGGCAGGGGTATGGAGACAGAACATTTCAGACACATGCAAAGGAACACCAATAATCCTGTATCTAGGAGTATCCCTTTGGCCACTGCAGGGAAGGTGGATTAGACAGGAGAGAGAATAAAGTAGGGTCTGGGAGACCAATTCAGGGTCTGTTTTAGGATCTTGGACTCAGGGATGGGGAATCTGTGGCCTCAAGGCCACATGTGGGCTTCAGGTTGCAGGTTTTCCACCATTGACTTACTAAAAAGGGATGAGGGCTTGAGCTAAGGTAAGTGGAGAGAAGGGAATAAACAAGAGAGATCTTTTGGAGGTAAAACTGATATGATTTGGCAATTAATTGGTTCTATGTTAGTGAGCTAGAACAAAGAATTGAGCATGACCACGGCTGCAAATGGAGTGATTGGGAAGATGATGGTGTGCTCAACAGAAATAAGGAAGATAGGAATTGGGGATGATCTAGGTTCACTGATGTCAAATGCAAGTAGAAATAGATCTCTGATGGCGACATACTGACTTAGGAAACAAGTTAACATCTGTATCATACTGTATTTGTATTTATTCTGTTAAACATTTCCCAATTCTATTTTAATCTAGTTCATCACCCCCTTGTACTTGGGAGTTTTGCCTTGACCCCAGGAGAACTTTGACACCTCTGACTAGTTTGTTGTTGCTCAGTCATTTCAAGCTCATTTTATGGATGAGGAAACTGAGGCAAACAGGGTTAAGTGACTAGCCCAGAGTCACACAGCTAATAAGTGTCTGAGGCCAGATTTGAACTCAGCAATATTAGTCTTCTTCTGGCACTGTATCCACTATCCCACCTTCACTGTTCCCTCTGACTAACAGGATGGATAATGAATCTGTCGACTCTTTGATGCTTATATTCTATCCAATTGGAAATGTGTAGGAAACAGTTGGTGATCATACACTATCATGGATTCAGAGCAGGAAGGGCCCATCTAACCATTCCATTCTACAGATGAGAAAATTGAGGCTCAGAGAAACTAAGTCATTTTCTCAGTCACACAGATAATAAGTAGCAGATGCAGGCTATGTTCCCAGGGGTGGTGCTCTATGCACTGTGCCACCTAGCTGCCCTTAGGCCATTGCTCTTCATGGGAGAGCATCCTGAAATTTACAGAGCATCGTTTTAGCTGAGTGGTGGTAGGGTAAGAAGAAAGACTGAAAAGAGATGACAGGTAGATGAGGAAGAGAAAGCAATGAGCGTAGACAGATTTTTCTAGGAGTTTGGTTATGGAAAAGGAGAAAAAATATTGGAAAATAGTAAAACTGAAAAGAAAGGGCCAGCTAGAATTAGTGACCTTTGTCCTATTCCCACCAGCAACCTAAATCTCTCTTTTCCACATTTGTCTCCTCAATATCATTGTGTCTTGTGCCACACTCAGTACAGACAGAAAACAACACTATTATTTAGTTAGTAATTTGTTGTCAGGAATGTGACCAGGAAAAATAGAGGTGCAGCCCTTGGGGTGGATGGGTTGAAGGACAGGGGAGGTACCCATAATCCTTCCCCAAAGGTTCCCTGTTTTCCTTCTTTTCCCCCAGTCTCACTCTGTACCTACACCATCCCCCACACCCACCATGTTATTCTTGAAGATAAGGGTTAGGTTACCTTCTTGTCTCTTATCAAATCCTAGGTTTTTTGACCTTTGTCCATAGCTGTTATTTTCCACAATCTGAATCACTTTTGTGACAGCTTGAAAACTGAATAAATTTTTTTATTTCTCAGGGAAAGTATTACAAACACTGTACCCACATAATTTTTCTCTCTATTGAAAGTACTCCTGCCACTGGACCAGAAGTGAGTAGAATCTAATCCCATTTCTACTTTGCCGCTCATATAACTAGCTCAGCTGGTTGGATGTTTATCTGGATTATACCTCCAAAGGAATATAGTCACTGATGTGAGAAATATCCCAGAAATAATAATGGCTAATATAACTAATACCACTCAATGATGGTAAATCAATATGGATTAATTTATCATTTTAACAGGCAGTAAGCCTTTGAATAGTAAACAGAATTTATTCCAGTTAGAAGCAAATGGTTTAATGGAAAGACCTCTGAATCAAGGCTTAGGTTCCACTCCTGCTACTGACTATTTAATTGTCAATTGGGAAATATTTAATTGTTAATTGGGAAAAGAAAGAGAGAAAGTGGACTTTTCTCTTTTTAAATTCCAAGGATAGTTATTGTGGAAGAGAATAAACACCAACAACTCTAGTTTGACCTCAGCCTCTGCTTGGGATTAATACCATCTGACATTTGCTTCTTCAATAACAAAACAATGTTCCACATGGCCAGAATGGTCACTTCTTGATTATACACCAGTTATAAGTATGGGTTTAAATATATCCATTCAATTTGATTAGTTTCATTCAATTCAATGAATATTAAATGTTTACTACAGTAGATATAAGACATTGTGTTAACAGTGTAGAAAGGTTAAATTATAAATAAAACACCATCACCCTGCTCTGGCTACTCTCTTTTCCCTTCCCAATCTCCATTCTCAAAGGAATAATACTTGGTGAACTACTTCAACCTAATACCATCCTCTCCTCTCACATCTCTTGCTCTTTTGTCCTATTATGGCTCTTGCCTTACTAAATCCCATCCTTAGATTGTTCCCACTCTTGGCAGGACTTGTCCTTTTGATCCCCACAACAGCCCTTTAAATATATACTTTTCCCTCTACTCACACAGCAGCTGCCCTAGTGTGGACCGACATCACCTTTCACCTAGACTATCTCATCTAGACTATTACAAGGATCTCCTACTTTGTCTCTCTGCCTCAATCTCCCCTCTCCAATTCATCCTTCAGATAGCTGCCAAACTAATTTTTGTAAATTACCGTTCTGACCACGTCACTCCAATGACAATAAACTCCAGTGGTTCCCTATTGCTTGTAGCATCAAAAATTGGGTTTCCCAAAATTCCTAGTGCAGGTTAAAGCTTTAGTACTTTAGTAATTTAAAAGCTAATAAAGCTTTAACCTGCACTAGGAATTTTGGGATACCCTATATATACTTTTCTGTTTGGTTTTTAAAGTCCTTTAAACCTGTTCCTGACCTACCTTTCAATGTTACTCATTACTCCTCTTCCCACACCACATACAACACTCCACCTACTGCCTTCGCACAAGCTGTCCTCTGTGTCTGCAATGTTCTCCTTCTTCACTTCTGCCTCTTGGAACCCCTGGTTTCCTTTAGGACTCAGTTCATGCCACCTTATGTATAAGGCTATTCTATATCCACCCAACTGCTGGTGCCTTCCTAACTCCCCAAACCCTGCCTCCCACCCCACTTACTTTGTATTGGTTTTACATGTGGTTTATTTATACTGATATACGGACATGTTTTCTATCCTGGTACGATGTAAAGGCCTTGAGGGAAGACTCTTTTATTTATGTCTTTGTGTTCCTAGTACCAAGCTCAATGCCTAGCCTGTAGGCATTTTATAAATGCTTTCTGGTTGTTACAATTTAGTCAGGAGGATAAGACATGAACACAAATCACTATAATAAAAAGTATATTAAAAGAACTCAGGAGAGATGAAAACAAATAGAGATAGGTTCTAGTTCTTTAAAGACAGGCACAACATGTCAAAATCCAGGTAAATATTGCAGAGGGAATAAATACTCCATTGCCCAACTGTGGGCTAATTATTGGCATCTCCCTTTACCTTTTCAGCTGAGTCCACTTCTCAACTCCTATTCCTAAGCACATTTTAAGGAGTTCCACTGATGGGTTCATTTCACTTATCTTTAGCTTTGTAGCTGTGAGATTGCTCTTCCAAAGCATGCACTTTTGGTTGGTTTTGAGTAATTCTTAATGCTTTCCTGCTTTTGGTAAAGATTGGTATGAGGATAAGCTTCTATGTGCGCAAACAGATTAATTTTAAAATTTAGATAATTGAACAAATACATTAAATACCCATTGTATCCAGAGTATTATGCTATGCTGATGAGGGAGGATAAAGAGTTTAGAGAAGATACTGTTACTATCCTGGAGCTTACAGAAGAGATAAAAAGTTGGCTATTATTCACAATAACAAATCATAATTAGAGTAGAGAGATGCAAATGAGAGTGCCAAGTGAGGTAGGACCATGTCATATTTTTTTACACTGTTGGTCTGGCTTTGACAATTAGTCTCAAAAGACATCCAGTGTCCAACTTTGGACTAAACTATATTCTAACTGGAAAGTGTACATGTAGTATGTGTGGAAAGAGTTGATCAGGATACCCTTGATCAATTGATTCTCTCTCAGTACTTTAGCCCATCTGACAAAATATTATAAGATAGGGGACAGACAACAGAGGAAACAAAGATATTTGTTTAAATGAAGCATAAGTTAGTGTAAATGAAACCTTATATTTTGTTATTCTAATTAGGTATGAAGTTTTTGAGTAAAAAATAGAATTAGAGAGCAGCTAACCATTGGCTGGTTAAAGATTGGTCACACTGCTATTGACCCTTTAGAAAGTGATTCATACTTTCTCAATTGTCAGCTGAGGCAGGACATTTTTCTGAGGAGCATAACCTCTGGCAGTAGAAGAGAGAGCCAGCCAGCTACAGATTAAGAAGCCTGCTTTAGAAAGGGAATCATTCCTCACCTCTCTAGCGGGAAGGGCTTTCTCTCTCTTCCATTCTTCCCACCTTCAGACATGACATATTTTTTTTGCACTTACTAGTATTTTATTTTTTTCCAATTACACATAAAGATAGTTTTCAACATTCACTTTTATAAGATTTTGAGTTCCAAATTGTTTTTCCTCCTTCCCTCCCAAAGACAGCAAGAAATCTGATATAGTCTATACATGTACAATCATATTTAACACATTTCCACGTTAGTCAGGTTGTGAAAGAAGAATCAGAACAAAAGGGAAAAACCACAAGAAAGAAAAAAACAAAATAAAAGGTGAAAATAGTATGCTTCGATCTGCATTCAGACTTCATAGTTCTTCCTCTGGATCTGGATAGTATTTTCCATCATGAGTCTTTTGGAATTGTCGTTGTATACAATTTGTCATTGTATTGCCAAGAAGAGCCAAGTCTGTCAAAGCTGATCATCTCACCATGTTGCTGTTACTGTGTACAATGTTCTCCTGGTTCTGCTCACTTCACTCAGCATCAATTCATGTAAGTCTTTGCAGGTTTTTCTGAAATCTGCCTGCTCATCATTTTCTATAGAACAATAGTAATCTATTACATTAATATACTACACCTTGTTCAGCCATTCCCCAATTGATGGGCATCCCCTCAATCTCCAATTCTTTGCCACCACAGAAAGAACTGCCATAAATATTTATTGTACATGTGGGTCCTTTCCCCTTTCTTATGATCTCTTTGGTATATAGACTTAGCAGTGGTATTGCTGGATCAAAGGGTATGCAGTTTTATAGCCCTTTGGGCATAGTTCCAAATTGCTCTCCAGATCAGCCACGATCTGGAGTAGGTCTGCTTACCCAGTAGCAATCTATGTTCTCAGGATGGAAAAGGCCCAGGAGTGAAACAAGATAATAGCTCTGAGGAATACAACCACTGTGAGATGAGAAGAGAGCCGTCCCTGGGAGTTGAGCTTGGAAATGAACAGGTCCATAAAGCCTGGCAGAGCGGTATGCTCATTAAAGGCACTCTATCAGGAGGAGTTGTATGAAGATATCATGAAAAGGGAAAGGAGATTGGTTCTCTATAGTACCTTTGAGTTACCTTGGCCATATAAGATTGCTATGTGTGTTTCTTTCTACTAGTATTCACCGCATATGTACTCACTCTTTGTACTGATTCTGTGTGTAGTTGTGAGAGAGTGTTAAACCACGGTTTTATTGAAACTGGTGGTGGTGATTTGTTGTTATTGTTCTTATAAAGCCATGTCAATAAATTTCTCTTCTTTGAGCTAATTCTTTCTCCTGGCTGACTATTAAAGGTAAGTGCACTGGTGGGGGCTCAAAGTGTTAGGAATGCAAACTCACCTTAAACTTTCGGGTAGTCACTCAACACAACCTTCTCCATCCCTTGGGATACAACCTGCAACTATAAATTGATAGATAGCCCAAATGGAGCACTGTGCACATATATAGACGTATACAAAATACATTCAAAACAAGTATAAGACAACCCAGAACAGGGGTGGGAAGGTACTAGAAGGCCTCAAGAAACGCCTTATGCAAACGGTGGCACTTGAGCTGAGTTTGAAGGAATCTAGAGATTATGAAGGTAAAAAAGGAAAATACCACCAGGCACAGAAGACATCCAATGTCAAGGCCAGTTGTATAATAGATACAATCAGGGCAATTTCTACTTTTCTGCCTTTCTCTGGAATAACATTTCACTTGATCTTACTCCAAATTTATTCTTGCTTTTTCTAATAAGGACACTATGTCCTTCCATCTCTGATAACACATTTGGAAAATAAAGTGCTTCCTTCATGATAAGCTGTATGACATAGTGGAAAGGTCAATGATTTTGGAGTCAGAGGACCTGGGCTTAAAACCTGGTTCGGCCCTTACTAGTTATGTCATCCTGGGAAGGTCCCTTTGCTTTTCTGGGGTTCGATTTCTTCATCTGTAAAATGACAGGGTTGGGTTAGAGGATTGCTAAGATTCCTTCCAATTCAAAATCTTGTGGAAAATATCAGGTCTGGCAAACACAACATGAGGCATGCTAGAAACAGAGAAATTCTTTCTAAAATTAAAAAAAAATTAGTATTTTATTTTTCCTCAGTTACATGTAAAAACAATTTTTAACATTCATTTTTTTTTAGGCAATTGGGGTTAAGCGACTTGCCCAGGGTCACATAGCTAGTAAGTGTCAAGTGTTTGGTCTGAGGCTGTATTTGAACTCAGGTCCTCCTGACTTCAGGGCCGGTGATCTATCTACTGTCCACCTAACTGCCCCTTAACACTAATGTTTTAAAACTTTGAGTTCCAAATTTTCTCCCTTACTCCTTCCCCCTCCTCTCCCACACTGAGAAGGTAAGTAATTCAATATAGGGCATATATGTGTAGTCATGCAAAACATTTCCATAATAGTCATGTTGTGAAAGTAGACATAGGCTAAAACATCATCAACAACAACAACAACAAGAAAAATAAAGTAGAAAAAAGTATGCTTCAATCTGTATTCTAACACCCTCAGTTCTTTATCTGGGAATGGATAGCATTTTTCATTGTAAGTCCTTCAGAGTTGTCTTGGATCATTGCATTGCTGGGAATAGCTTAGTCATTTCATAGCTGATCATCTTTCAATATTGCTGTTACTTTGTAAACAGTACATTTCATTTTATGTCAGCTCATGTAAGTCTTTCCAGGTGTTTCTGAGAACATCCTGCTCATCATTTCTATCATAATCACACACCACACTTTGTTCAGCCATTTCCCAGTTAATGGGCACCTCCTCAATTTCTTATTCTATGCCCCTAGAAAAGATCTGCTATAGATATTTTTGTACATATGGGTCATTTTCCTTTCTGTTTTTTTTTTTAATCTCTTTTGGGATACAGACTTCGTAGTGATATTGCTAGGTCAAAGGTTTGTATGGTTTTATAATTCTTTGGGCATAGTTCCAAATTGCTCTACAGAATGGTTGAAGCAGGGAAATTCTTAAAGAAACATTTTATAATATCACCACCACCAACAAACGCTAGTGACAAAGAGAGAAGAAGGATGAAGATAACAATGGAACCCACAAGATATGTGAATGATGTGTTAACAGGTTGGCTTTGTGTGAGTTCTGGGTTACAAAATGGTTTTCATTTCTTTGGAATCGTATTTCTTCTAACAACGGTTTGTCTCCTCAGTTTAACCTGGTATGTGCAGATTCCTGGAAGGTAGACTTGTTCCAATCCTGTGTAAATGTGGGATTCTTTCTTGGCTCTGTGGGAACTGGCTATATGGCAGACAGGTATGTAGATGCTTTAATTTCCTGATTCAGTTAAAAAAATATTTGCTTCTTAGAACCGTCCTAGATGCTATAAAGAAATACACAAGAAATTTGACTTAGTTCCTGAATTCAAGAATTTGTGGCTGCTATGTTTTAAACAGAAATAGTGGAGTTGATGGAGTATTGGAAAAAAATAATGGATTTGAAGTCAGTGGACTTGAAAATAGATTTGAAGTCACTATAATATAAAAAATATAATGAATTATATTTTTTATAATATAGTGCCTCATAGTTAATAAAGGGCTTTTATTCTAGGCTAGGACTAACTCAAACCAGGTTGGCTGTCCAGGCCTGGGACTAGAAGGAAATGGAATATTCATGGACCATAAGATATAATTAAAAACAATTTTATTTAGGATAAGATTTAAAAAAACCCAAATATTATTTCATTTGATCCTCACAACAATTATCAGAAGTAGGTGCCGTTATTACTCCCATTTTACAGAGGAAAAACCTGACATAGACATGTTAAATGACTTGCCCAGGGTCATACCACTAATAAAAAAAAAATATCGCAGGCCACATCACAGTGGACTCTAGGTCCACTGCTCTATCCACTGTGCCAGCTAGTTGCATGCTTAGGACAAGATTAAAAAAGAATACATATCAGACTATATCTAGCTAGTCAGGACAACTTCTTTTCCTGAGTTCAAATCTGGCCTTAGACACTTACTAGCTGTGTGACCCTGGGTAAGTCACTTAACCCTATTTGCCTCAGTTTCTTTATCTGTAAAATAAGCTAGAAAAGGAAATGGCAAACCATTCCAGCATCTTTGCCAAGAAAACCCCAAATGGGGTCATGAAGAATTAGACATGACTGAAAAACATCTGACTGACAAACTTCTGAGTCCAGTATTTTCTCTATAGTACCACTTTGGTTTGGATACCTGCCCCTATACTGGCATAGGTTGCAACCTCATCCTGGGGGACTTTTAAAGGGGGGGGTCCTACTCAACATGGGGAGATATTCCTGAGTCTGTCACATTTCTGGGATACTAGTGCAAGCTTGGTCCATCCTTTCATTATCCCTTATTCCAGAAGAGTGTAAACTCCTTCAAGGACTGGCTTGGTTTAGTCATCATGTCTCCAGATGCCTCAGACATAATAGTTGCTTAATAACATTTCTTTGAATTGAATTAAATTGCCACATAACTAACCCACCCTCGTTTCTGATGATACATTTCCCGCTGACATCCCTTATGAAAAGACACAATGACACTGTCAAGGATAGGGAGTCAGTCTTGGCATCAAAAAGACCTGGGTTTGAGCCTATCTAATACTAGCTGAGTATTTGTGGACCAAGGTTAACCTTTCTGTGCCCCCAGCACCTCCCAGAGATTCTGGGGATACAGCCAAGTAGCTAAACTTTGTTAGCAAACTATGCTGATGAAATCTGTCAGTCAATAAGCATTTATTAAGCACCACTAGGTCTTGTGGTCAAAATACCTGGGGATACAAAAAGAGGCAAAAGACAGTCCCTGCCCTTAGCTTACAATCTAATGAGGTAGGCAACACACACATAAATATAGCGGAAATGGACAAGAAAAAAATCCCCAGGCCACTCCTTGTGCCCCAATCATCTGGGTTCGTGGCAGTCATAGAAAACTAACTAAAATGCATTCCTGGTTTCTTTGGGATGGGACATGTATATATGTGCACATGAATGTGTATGTACACACATGTGTATATCACTATATGTATCATATATCATATATTACATATCATATATCACAAATGCATATCATATATATCTCATTGATTTTAGTGGTTTCATGGATAGTAGTGAATGGCAGAGCTAGGATTCCAGGTTCAGCACTCTTTTCATGGTAACAATATGGTTTTGATTATGTACCTTTTCAATGGGCCAAATAGCACTGAGAGCAGAGCAAAGCAATGATTTTCTCAATAAGTCTAATGCACCTTTTCTGGACAAAACCACAACATCCTATAGAGCTCTGTTCTGTCAGCTCTGTTCACACATTCTGTTATGGTCAGTCATATTGCCCTTGCTTCAGTTTTCAAAAATCTTTTGTCTTGGTCTTGATTTCATCATTGTGTTTGTTTCTCTGCAGGTTTGGTCGCAAAGTGTGTCTCTTAATTACAATCTTCATCACTTCTCTCTCTGGAGTCCTCATGGCCATCTCACCCAACTATGCATCTATGCTCATTTTTCGTTTTCTGCAAGGACTGGTCAGCAAGGGAAGCTGGGCCTCTGCATACATCTTGAGTAATTATTCATGGTTCCATCAACTCAAATCAGGACAGTAGTTAGGGGACATGACAAATTTGAGACAAGGCCAGAGAGGTTATTGTTGTTGATATTGATGAGGGATGTAGAAAGAGCTCCTGTTTAGCATAATCTGAGGGGTGGATGTGGGGGAAGGTGAACACTGGAAAAAACATGAGTTTGAATCCAGCTGCACACACTTACTATCTGTGTGGCCTTGGGTAAGTCACTTAACCTCTGTACATTTTTATGGTATTTGGGGATGGAGACATAGAAGGAGATAAAGGGAAGGAATATTGTTAAAGAGAGCAAGACCCCTCCTAAAAAAACTGAGGAATGGATAAATATCTGAAGAATGCTATATAATAATACTTTTCAAGTTTACTTCGAAGATTGAGAGGGAAACCCCCAACTTGTAAGACTTTATGGGATCATAGATTGAGAGCTGGAAAGGATTTTAGAGGCCATTAGGTCCAGTGCCTTCATTTTATCTATGAGGAAACTGAGGCCCAGGGAGGTTAAGTGACATGCCCAAAGTCACACAGGTAGTAAGTGATTAGGAGTTAGATTCGAATTCAGGTCCTCTGACTTAAAATCCTGTGCTATTTGTTGTTATTCAGTCATTTTTAGTTGGGTCTGACTCTTTGTGATCCCATCTGGGGCTTTCTTGTCAAAGATACTGGAGTGGTTTGCCATTTCCTGTTCCAGCTCATTTTAAAGATGGGGAAACTGAGGCAAACAGGGTTAAGCGACTTACCTAGGGTCACACAGCTAGTAAGTGTCTGAGGCTGGATTTGAACTTAGGTCTTCCTGACCCGAGGCCTAGTGCTTTATCTGTTGTACCACCTAGCAGCCAGCATAGTAGTGTTTCTCGAACTCAGCAAGGCTTTGGGGAAGGGAAACAGCTGAAGTAGATTCACTTTTTCCAGCTGCAATCCAAGGCTGGATGACACTAGCAGGCATGAATCATTTTCTAGGTGGAAAAGGATGGGAGATAATCCATACTTTGTGTACTTTTCTAGGGAAGGAGATACAGGGGTTTGCCACTTCCTGGAAATTCAGTTTAGCATGCTGACATTTGGAAAAATTTCAGGCCTCTTAGGAAGAGGTGATCTATGATCCTACTTTGAGGAAACAAACAAACAAACAAATAAATAAATATTGCAGAACCCCAAGGCTTCTGAAAGCAGAGGGCCTAGTATTTTCCTATTGATTATAATCTGCATTGGTGATTATCTGACTGTGTGACCCTGGACAAGTCACTTAACCCTGTTTTCCTCAGTTTCCTCATGTGTAAAATGAGCTGGAGAAGGAAATGGCAAATTACTCCCATATCTTTGCCAAGAAAATGCCAAACGGGGTCATGAAGAGTTGGACATGACTGAAAATGACTGAACAACAACAAATTGTCTCTATTCTAGTCACAGAATTCGTTGGTGCAGCATACAGAAGAACCGTGGGTATTCTCTTCCAGATGAGTTTTGCAGTTGGCCTCGTGATGCTCTCAGGAATTGCTTATGTTATTCCCCATTGGCGATGGCTACAGCTGACTGTTACTCTACCAACCTTCTTCTTTCTGCTCTATTACTGGTAAGTACTGCCTTCCTCCTTTTCATTTTCAATGGCAATAGAGCAACTCACACGGGATGAACGGGGCAGATGTGTTAGGAGCTGCATTGTCCTTTTCCCCAAATCTATACTTCCATTGTATTTCTCCATTTCTTTCAAGGGAAGAACTCTCTTTCCAAGTCACCTCGGTTCATGACTCTGGAGCCATCTTAACTCCTCACTCTCACTCCATGTATCTAATCAGGTGCCAATCATACGTGGGCCAAATACCGCTAAGAGACCAGAACCAAGCCTTGTTGTTTCTACCTCCACAGTATTTCTGACCTTTATCTTCTTCTCTTTACTCATGAAGACACAGCCCTAATTTAGGTCCTCAGCATCTCTCCCAGGGTCAGTTTGATGGCTTCCAGAATGGTCCAATTTCCTCAAGTCTACCTTCTCCAAGCCATCATTGACATAGCTGACAAGATGATTCTCCTGAAGTACTGTTCTGACCATGTCCCTCCCTAGCAGAATAAACTCCAAGAACTGCCTACTCAATATAGGCTACAATACAAACTCTTGTTCAGTCATGTCTGAGTCTTCTTGACCCCATTTGGGGTTTTCTTGGCAAAGATAACTGGAGTGGGTTGCCATTTCCTTCTCCAGCTCATTTTACAGATGAGGAAATTGAGGCAAACAGGGTTAAGTGACTTGCTCAGGTTCACACATCTTAAGTGTTGAAGGCTAAATTTGAACTCAGGTCTTTCTGACTTCAGGTCTAGTGCTCTGAGCCACTCCGCAGCTTCTCCCTAAATAAAAGATTAAAGGAAAGAGGTTAAGAAAGGATATATATTTTTTTCCTGCCAAGAAGCCTAAGACTGAGCCAAAGCTGGTAAATGATTATAATAGACCTGCTTCTGCAGTCTATTTGAACAATTCAGGGCTTGCAGGGTCAGGGGGAGAGGTTGGGAATGTACTGAAGCGATACAACTTTGATCTGGGCCTAATCCATGTGAGTTTTCTCTCTCTCTCTCTATCTCTATCTCTGTCTCTCTCTCCTTTTCTTTCTCTTTGTTTCTGTCTGTCTGTCACTGTGTCTCTCTGTTTTTCCCCCTCTCCCTCATCCCATTCTAGATACTTGAAAAAACCCCTTTCTTTGACTCATTGATGGGCTCAAGCTCTTTCTTATTATCCCTCCTTTTGCTTCACTGCCTGGGAGATCATTGTCCTGCTACACTCTGCCCACCATCTGGCACAGCTGGAGCAATGTGTTCAGTTCTGGTCCCCACATTTTAGGAAGGGAACTGATCGACTGACTGGAGGAAGGCAAGCAGGAGGGTGAAAGAGCCTTGGCTTCCCAGCACATGAGGACCTGTTGAAGGAAATGGTAGTTTTGCCTGGAAAAGAGAAGACTTAGGGGCGATAGAATAGAATCTTTTATTTTTGGAGCTATCACCTGGCAGAGGCACTATACCTGCTCCACTGGGTCTCAGAGGCAGAACAGGGCACAGTGGGTGGAATTGACATTTAGGCTTGTTGCCAGGTAAAGACTTCCTAATACCACTTGTAGGTGATGGAGGAGGGATTACTGTTCCAGGATGGGTTAGACTACATGACCTCTGAAGTCTCTTGCAATTTTGAAGTTTCATAATTGCTGTGAAAGTCCTGGAAAGAATAATGTATATATCCTCCACTCATGCCTCTTCATTCGCTTCTCAAATCTGGTTTGCCAGAGCATCACAGATTGAGAGCTAGAAGGTACCTTAGAATTGTACCCTTCTTTTACAGATGAGGATGGCGCAGGTCAGAGAGGGATATAACTGAGGATACACAGTAAGTGTCCAAAGTGCGATCTGAACTCAGGTCTTCCTAATTCCATGTGCAGAGCCCTATGCGTTATACCAAACTGCCTCTTAACCAAGAGATACATTGGTCTCCTCTTTATTCTTAATCGAATTTAATTTACCATATTTTAAAATGTATTCACCATATTATTAAAATGTATTAAAAATCCCTATTTTCTAGGGATAGTGTTTTAAACATTATTCTAGGTATTCCAGGCACCATTCTAGAGACTCAAAGACAAAAATGAATGAATCTCTACCCCTGAGGGGCTAATATTCTAGCATCAGCCTGAGAAGGTTGTTGTGAGGCTCCAAGGAGATAATATTTGCAGAAAGCACTTAGCACAGTGTCCAGCACATAGCAGGCATTATAGAAATATTTATTCCCTTCCTCCTCACCTCCTATGAGATATATCTAGTTTGAGAGGATCTCCTTTGCATCCATCCCACTCTAAGTTATGGCCTACTTTATTTGGGTTCTAGTCATACTTTAACCCCACACCCATTAGACTATCTCAGATCATTGAGTCAACAGAAGATGTTGTCTTTCATCTTTACATCTCCATGGAGTAAGCCCCTAGTAAATGCTTGCTCAGTGGAGTTGTCTTAGGGTCTCATGTGTGCTCCCTCTTTATAATAGCAAAGTAGATTATTATACTGTGTGCCTCTGGCATTCTGACTGTTTGGCCCTCTCAATGCCTGAGGTAGTTCTCTAAGACAGTAGGTCTTAACCTGGGAGGCAAGGACCCACTATGGATAGATTTCAGGGGGTTTGTGAAGCTGGATGATTTTTAAAATTACATCTTTATTTTTGCTAACATCTAAATGAACTTTAGTGTTTATTTCAATTATTCAAAAACATTATTCTGAGAAGAGATCCAAAGACTGCCATAGGGGTCCATGACAAAAATAAAAGGTGAAGAATTCTCTGATTTAAGATTATTAGTTGCAGAACAGCTATCAATTTTCTTTGGTAGAGAGAATTTCTTCAATGGCAATCCCCCATAACAATAAAATCACAGGCCTATTTTCTCTCCTCCCTCCAAAAAAAAAATCCTATTATTACTTTTAATAAATCATTGATTATAACTACAGGTGTGTGCCCGAATCTCCTCGGTGGCTGTTATCACAGAAGAAAAACGCCAAAGCAATAAAGATAATGGAACACATTGCTCAAAAGAATGGGAAACAGCTGCCTGCTAATCTCAAGGTAATTGTTGTTCAGTTATGTCTAACTCTTCATGAACCCATGGACTCTATTGTTCATGGGGTTTTCTTGGCAAAGATACTGGAGTGGTTTGCCATTTCCTGCTCTAGAGGATTAAGGCAAACAGAGATTAAGTGACTTGCCCAGGATTGCCCAACTAGTAAGTGCATGAGGCCAGATTTGACTTCTACTGTTCCTAACTCCAGGTCCAGTTCTCTATCCACTGAGCTACCTATCTGCCTCCAATATCAAGGTAATAGAGACAGGGAAAAAGGAGATGATGGGGCTAGGAGTATAAAGCTGTCATCTACTTATAGCCTATGTGTGTGTTGTAGATTTGCTTCACATTTGAGTTCTTGCCTTGAAATTTCCAAAGCCAATGAGTATATTTCCTGTTGAGTACAAGCAGTGTGTTGTACTGGCCTCCCAGGGTGGATAATTTGGAGCATTTCCCTGGTGGAGTAAAGGTCCTTGGGCCAATCAGAGAAAGGTTTGAAACTTGCCCCACTCCTAAGCCATCTAAATTGCGATCTTTTGATTTCTGGAAGGAGTCTTCTATCCTGAGCTGATAATATGTCTCTTTCCTAGACCCTCTCTCTTGAAGACGATGATGATACAGAAAAGCTAAGTCCTTCCTTCGGAGACCTATTCCGAACCCCCCAGATGAGGAAACATACTTTCATTCTGATGTACATCTGGTAAGGCAAAGTTCTAAAGTTTTCAACCCAAAGTGTTCATGGTTGGAATGACCCTTTGGGAGCAGGATATGGGGAGTAGAATGCTCCAGACTGAAGAAGAGAAAGCTAAGTGCTGATTTGGTAAGTTGTATGTATGAATTATTCTAACAAAGATTACAGTAATGAGTTTTTCTACACAGTCTGTAAGTAGTGAACAAGAGGAAATACACTCACATTTCGGTGGGCAAAATATGTGGGTTATATATGTAACCTGTGTGGAAAAGCACTCAGGGTCAACATAGAGGTAATCTGCCCTCCACTCTCCCTCGGGGCTTAGTCTACAGAATTCATTGCACCACTGAGAATCTGATCTTCCATATCACGATTCTCTCTTTTGCTCCTGCTCCTTGGCACTGGCTCTGGTTTGTTCCCAGAAATTCTTCTGCTCAGCCCTCTTTCACCTGGGGTTGGTTGCTCAATGCACGTCGTTCCCTGGAGGGGCTTCATGGATGTGATAGCTTCCCTTGAGGGAACTGAGTCCAAGTCAATGGGTTTTCCCACTCTTTACTGTATTCCTCTGCTTCTAGATCCCTAGCCTCTCTGGCTATGTGTGTTGCTACCCTCTAAGTCAAATTGAATGGCATTTATTAAGCACTTGCTATGTGCCAGGTACTGTGCTAAATATTAGGAATGGAAAAAAAACACCCCGTAACATCCCCCCCCACCAAAAAAAAAACCCCGGTCCCTGCTCTCAAGGAACTCGCAGTCTAATTGGGGAGCAACCTGCAAACAGCTATGCACAAATAATAAATACAGTCAATCAATCAATACAGATTTGTCAAGTGACTACTATATGGCAGGCACTGTGCTAAGCCCTGCGGATACAAAGAAAGGCAAAAGACAGTCCCAGTTTATAAGGCACTCACAGTCTAAAGTGGGAGACAAAATGCCAACAACTGTATACAAATAAGTTATGTACAGGATTAACTAGAGATAATCCCCAAAGGAAAGCATTAGAATTAAGGGGGGATCAGGAAAGAGTAGAAGAGGGGATTTTAGTTAGTTGAAGGAAACCAGAGAAGTCAGGAGGCAGAGATAAGGAGGGAGAATGCATGGGAGACACCAGTGAAAATGTCCTGAGTCAGGAGATGAGTGTCTTGTTAATGGAACAGCCAAGAGGCCAGTGTCACTGGATTTCAAGAGTATGTGGAGGGGAGTGAGATGTAAGAAGGCTGGAAAGGTAGGGTTGGGCCAGGTTATCAACAGCTTTAAAAGCCAACTTGTCAAAAGTTCAAGTTCCTGAACTAGACGTGGTCAGTCTGGTGTCCAAGCATGCCAGGCATTGTGCTAAGCCAAGAAGATAGGAATGAGAGGCCCTGCCTGTAAGGAACTTGGTGATCTTGCATTTTTCTGTGTTGACAATGTAGAACTTTTTAAAATCTACCTTTTCAAATGTGTTGATCCCACTGTTTTTCATGGACGGAATAGTTGCCCAGTAATGCACAGAGTAATGGAGGGGCAAATGGTTGGTGTAAGCTGGCTGCAATATATAACCAATGAGGAAAATCAAAGAAGAAATGGAGTAAAAAATGTTATCAGTGAAGTGAAAGCAGAAGAGCTGGTCATGTGATGAAAGTAAAGGATGAGAGGCCAAGAGCCTGAATTCTTTACTGGAACCACAAGTTGCTAGAAGAATGAATGAATGAATGAATGAAACTGCATTTATTAAGTATGTAAACATGTACCAAACACTGTGCTAACCATGGGGGAGACAAAAACAAACTTAAGAGTCCCTACCCTCAAAGTGCTTATATTCTAAGAGGGGGAAACAGCACATAGAGAAGAATGGTGGCCAATAAAGAATATTTTGATTTGGAAAGTTATGGGGATGAGGAGTAGAGATTTTCAGAAGCCATGATTTCCAGCATGGGTGATACAATTAATGCTGGTACCACTCAGCGAAAATGGTAAAACCAGAAAGCGGAGCAGGTTTTTGTTTTTGTTTTTGTTTTTTGATGAAAGTATGGGGTGAGAGGTAGGGAGAAGAATAAGCTCAGTTTTGTGCATCTCTGGAAGTCTGTAACCTTGGGAGGCTTTGGGAGAGAATTCAAGACCATGAACAACTTTCTGTTAGCAAAATGAACTCTTTTAGTAACATTGACTTTGTTGTGAGCTCTCACTAAGTTCAGATGAAGACTAATATTCAGAGGAATATGTTTATGGTATTTAAGTAGCTTATTTATGCTCAAGAGGAGACTTTCTTCCTAGCATTTTCCCTTAATGTGTTCTTCGATACCCACTTGAAGAGCTAGCAAAAAAACTTAGAAGATTCTGTGGGGCAGTTCTGGGCATCTTTCTGCCTGTTATGTCCACCATTGCTGCCTCTGTCTTACAGTGGGTTACAGCCGACCCTGAAGTCTTAGTCAGAACCACAGTCTTTCCTTTCCATTTCCTGATCAGCATAATTATCCCTTCTACATTGTGGGGGCTAGGGGTGCAGTGCCCCCATGATCTGGAAAATCCATGTAAAATTTTTTAGCCCTCTGTACCAGAGAAGAAGTCTGAATTTTTCTTTTATGGGGTGTTTACAGTGCCTTATTGTAAAATTTAGGCTAAGTATTTGGGTATAGGCTATATATAGGTCAATGTTAAGTAAAAATACTTTTTCTGTGTCTGCTGGCCTTCTGTGTCATCATCTGTGGTTTTTGCAAAACTCCCCCCAAATTCCCATTTGATTTTTTTATGCTGACCTGAGAAACACTGAAACCATGACAGGGAAAGTTGAGATGTGGAAGGGATAGCTATACTTCATCTTTGTGTTGAGCTGCCGTCGCTCAACTGAACGGCAGATTCACCTGTCATGGCTCCTGCTGTTAGCCCTGAGTTAGGTCGTGACGAACCCTTTGCCTCCTCCTCCTTCCCATGACTCTTTTGCATGAGGTAGAAGTTAGTCTAGGTCCTAAAGAATTTGATTTTCTGAGCTTTTCTGGACATTCCCAAGATCTTAGTTTTAGGTATTTTTTCTTCCAAAATAGAGAGATTTAAAAATAGGAATCTCGATTTTTCTTGGAGGTGATGTGAAATTTGGTTACTTGGAAATCACATTTATTTTTCTCTTGATGAAAATCTTCTATCAGGTTTACTATAATCAACATATGTATGTGTGTATATGTGCATATATGTACGCATGAATAAGTATATATATATATATATATATATATATTTGTGTATGTATATATCTTTGTGTGTATCTATGTAACCAAACAACATTTTAAAAAACAGATACAGTTCTCCCTGCAATAACCTGGTAAATTTCCTTAATGTTAATTCCCTAATTCCCTTAATTCCCTAATGCTCAGAGTATCTTACCTGTTTCTATAATAAATCTATATGCCATAGACTAGAGCCTACTGTCTCATTCACCACAAATATGGATGCAAATGCTGTAGGATAAAAGAGAGCTATGTGACCTTGGGCAAGTCACTTAACTGCTGTCTGCCTCAGTTTCCTTAACTGTAAAATGGGGATAATAATAGCACCTACCAGACAGGGTCATTGTGAGGATCAAATGAGATCATTTTGTGAAATGCTTAGCACATTGCATGGTGCACAGTAGGTGCTCCATGAATGCTGATTCCCTATTTCTTCCCTTAAAAAACAAAGACCACGAATTTCTCATCGAAAATTTCCAGAAGCCTAACTTTAATATGGAGCATCTTTTTTGTTCAGGTTCTCAGGCTCTGTGCTTTATCAGGGTATCATTATGTACATGGGGGCCACAGCTGTTAACCTTCACCTGGATTTCTTGTACTCCTCTCTGGTTGAATTCCCAGCTTCCTTCATCATCATCTTCACCATTGATCGTGTTGGCCGCCGCTATCCTTTGGCTACCTCAAATTTTATTGGAGGGGTAGTTTGTCTTATTTTGATATTTATTCCGGATGGTGAGTTGTCTGTTTTCATTATCGCCCCATTTGTCCATTTTGGGGAATCATGTTCTATCTTTGATAAGCTTCTGGAACTAGAACAGAGACAAAGTAATGTGCAATATCTCACATGCTGTTGTGATCCAAGCTAAATAGAGCCAGGAGAATTCTTCCCAACTTTAAGTACAGCAAATAAACCTCCTCCCACATTCTTTGCCAATTCTAATTCTTTCAAATAAACATCAAGATAAATTTATAATTTTTCATGAACTGTTTACTGGACCTATTAACACCTTGGGTCATTTGACATAGTTTCTGTGAATAGTATTCTAGAAACTGCCCCATAAAATTTGAGTTCTTGAGAACAATATTGTCTTGGTTATCCTGGCGTTGAGAAGCAGTGTGGCATAGTAAATAGAAAGCTGGCCTTAGAGTGAGAAAGACCTGGTTCAAATCCTGCCTCTGAACATATAATGCCTATGTGATCCTGATGCCACAGACACTAATGCTAAAAGTATAGAGCAGATGCTGATTGTGTGGTAGGAGAATTTTCTGACCAAAGCTCCCTATACTAATGATATCAAAGGCCTAGACAAAAAAAAAAAAGGTAGACTTGGAGGTGGAGGAATTTAGTCCAATTCAATTTCAAGCCTTTCTGTGGCAGCTAGGTGGTGCAGAGCATTGGGCCTAGTGTCAGAAAGACCTGAGTTCAAATTTAGCCTCACTGGCTATGTAATCCTAGGTAAGTCTTTAACCTTGTTTGCCTCAGTTTCCTCAACTGTAAATGGGGAAAATGACAGCATTTACCTCCCAGAGTTGTTGTGAGGATCAAATGAGATAATACTTGTAAAGCACTTAGCACAGTGCCTGGCATATAGTAGGCATTTTATAAATGCTTATTCCCCTTTCCTTCCCTTAAAAAGCCACAAATTCCCTTCTTCTCTCCCTTTTAAAAAAAGTTGAAGGAAACAATTCAATAAGCATTTAGTAAGCACCTCCTATCTGCAAGACACCACAAAGAGAGGAAACAGAGCAGAGGGTGTCCTGGAATGGTGATTACCCAAACAGAAGTAGTGGAATGAGATTAAAACCCTCTGTGAAAATTAGGGACTGATTTTCCCTATGTCATCATTCTGCAGGCATTGTAGTTCTCTTTTTGGAAAGTGTAATACTTGGATTTTACACAAACATTTACTCAGTACTTACTGTGTGCAGGTACTGTGCTAGGTGCTGGGGAAAAGACAAAGGTTAGTTAAGATGGTGCATGATGCCCTGGTGGCCCTTAATGTCCTAGGTGACAAATTAGTGTAGGTTTAGAACTTAATACACATTAGGGAACTCTGTAACAGAGAAGAGAATCTGCTTCTAGAGTTGTTTACTTCTCTAGTACATTGGTTGTACTTTTATTAAGGATTCAGGGAGTTTTCAGTTCTAGATGATATAGTCTAGACTTTCTAAATAAATATATATAGATATATTCTATAGATTCTAGATTTTAAACATCTTATTTCTGGCATATGAGATATAGTGGGTTGCTGTTTTGGGTCCTTGTCTAGTTCCAATCAAGAGTTCTCAAGCCCTTGATTTGTTAATTAAATTTCTTCCTGGATAGAAAGCAGAGGAAAGAAGACAGATGAAGTTAGAGTGCACTGAATTTAACAGAGTAAAGAAATTTCTCTGACACCATTTCCTCTCTCAAATGAAGCCTTGAGCAGAATGAATCAAGTTTTATGTCAGCAGTGGGTCGCTAGGGCCAAGGCAAAATAATGTCTGGTGTCCTCTCTACATCTTATGAGTTTGACCATAGTCCCAGGGCTACTTGGCACTTGAGTCCTGATAATAATGATAATAATTTATTGTTTATCATTTTTGTTATAATTTATTAATACAATAAATCATTACAATTAGCATAATTAATATATTGATTTATTATTATTATTCATATACATTATCTCATTTGGTCTTTACAACAACCCTAAGAGGTAGGTGCTGTTACCATCCTCATATTATAGGTAAGGAAACCGAAGCTGGTGTCTCTATTTATAGCTTCCTCTAGAAACACCACATTTGACTCATGTTAAGGTCTCTACAAAATTGTAGTTCCTACACAAGCACACAAGCTTGTAAATCATTGATAATGTATTTTTTGAACTCAGGTCTTTTAGGCTTCATATCCAACAATGTCCAATGTACCACCTAGCAGCTTTGAATCAGTAGGAAAATTTTGCTGAAGAAATCAAGGAAGTCATTTCTTAGTTCATGGATCCTTAGATTCTCTGAACCGGTTATGAAGTGTTCATAGTAAAACCTGATGAATATGGTTTCTTAACATAACCCAAAGGGCACACAGAGTCCCTGCTCACATTTCAAACAATTTGTTTGTATTTTCTTTCCAGATATTCACTGGTTAAAAGTGACTTTGGCATGTCTTAGCAGGTTGGGAATTACTACTGTAATTCAGATGATTTGTTTAGTGAACGCAGAACTATACCCCACATTTGTCAGGTGAGTGACTCTCCTTGAACCTGTGTGGAGAGAAGTGTGGCTACTGAAATTGGTAAATAACATGGGTGCTAGTCAGGTTTAATGATTTGTACTTAGATATTTAGAAGTAATTCTCTAAAGTAGGACAGATGGCTTATGTTGAATGCTCTCTCTCTCTCCCTCCATAATATACATATGTATATATTTGTGTATGTATACATGTGCATATCTATTTGTTTTCTAACCCATATATATAGTATTTTATGTAGGATAAGTTGTCTATGGTTTCAATGGACAAAACTGAATTTACTTGATAAAATTTGAGGACCTACTATGTTCTAGGGCACCATGATAGGTGTTGTTGGGGCATATAATACTGAAGAAAACATGGTTCCAATTTTGAGGGACCTCATAATCAAGTATGGAAGATAAAGCATATGTACAAATAACTTTAATATTTTAGTGGATCTATGATCTCAGCTATGCAGGCAATTCTTTCCACTAATGTCACTCATCCATGCCTTCTCATCTTGTATAATCCTTGTCTATATTCTCCCATAGGGTTCTTTTTTAAAATAGAACTACTGAAGACTCTTCCCAAGGTTTTTTCTTTTTAAACATGTTGTGAATATCAGTACCACACTTGAGCTGCTTATCCGTATATCTTGATCTCAGTCCATGATTAGCCCACTGCCTTTTCTGATCGTATATATCTTATGGTATATCCCTTTTCCCATCACTGAAAATGTGCCATAGTTGACTTATACCTGTCACACAAATACCTATACTGCACAATAGATGGCATGTATATAGTCTTTAACAGGTTACACAGTGCCCATAATGCATTATATTATTTATGTCAAAACAGATCAATTCCCAGAGTGGTCCTGGGACGTTGTTTAAACATCATCCCTCATATTACTGATACCCAGATAGGCTGAGTGACTTCTGGAAAGCCACACAGTGAGCAAATGACTGGGCAAATGAACTTGGACTTGGACCCAGAGAAGTACAAACAAAATCCTGTTATTCATAAGGTCATCAGTCTGGGGAAAGTCCATTTATACCCACTGAAAAAAAAAACCAAAATGTTGTTGACTAGGCTCACATCTGCTGTGTTACCCTACTACTCTGGGAACTTTTTTCTAAAAAATATTAATTCATTTTGTTTTCAACATTCACTTTTATAAGATTTTGATTCCTAAAATTTTCCCCCTCCCCAAGATGGCATGTAATCTGATACAAGCTATACATATACAATCATATTAAACATATTTCCATATTAGTCATGTTGTGAAAGAAGAATCAGAACAAAGGGAAACAACATGAGGAAGAAAAAAAAGAGAGAAAATAATATGATTCAATCTACATTCAAACTCCGTAATTCTTTCTCTGGATATGGATAGCATTTTCCATCATGAGTCCTTTGCAACGTGAGTTGACTTGAAAACTGGAAGAACTTGTAATGGCAACTCTTTGGCTATCCCTGCTTTCAATTTTTGTTTCTATTAACCCTCTCCTCAGTTCCCATCTAGTGCAGCAATAGTATATAGTAGGACCTGTTGAGTCCATGTTCTGCTGCTGACTAGCCCTTTGACTTTGCACATGTCTAATGAGATATTTATAGACTTTACAAACCACTAAGCACCATATAAATGTTATCTATTTTTATTATTATTAATAATATTATTTTTATTTCATCTTTTTGAGTTTCAGTTTCCTTGGCTGTAAATTGGGAATAATAATACTTGACTAGCTACCTTGCAGAGTTGATGGGAGGAAATAATTTCATAAACTAGAAAGTATCATGAATATGAATTATTATTATTGAAATTTTCCTGCCTCCTCCCTATTCCTCTCTAAGTTCTTGTGAAGGGGAGGAAAGACTGACTGGAAACTTACAAAGTTAAAATGAAGACAAAAAAATCTTTTTTTAATTCAATGCCTCTCTTGAAGATCTGAGCCAGAAGTCTAAAAGCAGCAAAGCAAAACAATTCCATTGTCATGGTCACTGGTCCCCAAGGGCTTATTTAAATCTTAAAAATCCAAAGGTTCCTAGAGCTTGGTCTTATAAGGAGAAAAATCTAGTAATACAGTCCCCCAAAGGACCTTTGAACATTTGTGAAGAAAGTCTGTTGATGTCTAGATTTAACAAGGGTTCTTTTTAAAAATATAGGATGCTTGACACAATGTGTAGTATTTACTGTATAGGCTTTCTTGAAATGGAAATTTATTGCTATATATTTTGAATCCTTTCTTATGTTCTGCTGTGCACATGGCATGCTTTTTTTCTTTTCTTATTTTGTATTTGTTTCAGTATTCAAGTTTATAATGTTTCTTTTTCTATTATGTATTAAAGTTTCAGTAATAAAAAAATAAAAAAACTAAATAAAAATATAGGATGATAACAATAACAGCTCGTATTTCTTCAGCACTTTATGCTTTGGGGAATATGTTACTTCTGTAATCTTGTTTTCGCTTTACCACACCACTGTGAAGTTGGATCATAGGATTGCTGAGTTGGAAGGGACCTTGAAATTCATCTAGTCCAATTGCTTGTCTCATTTTAAAAATGAAGAAGGTAATGCCCAGAGAGATTAAGTGAATTGCTCAGTCATACCAGGTAGTAAAGCTGGGAACTGAGAGTAGGTCCTTTGATTCCAGATCCAGTGTTCTTTTCAGTACATTCTATTGCCTTGGTAGCACATGTATTATTATTATTATTATTATTATTATTAGTAGTAGTAGTAGTAGTAGTAGTAGTAGTAGTATTCCCATTTTCCAGATGAGGAAACCGAGACTTTCCTTGATCATTAGGTGACTATTCTTTGTTAAGCTTTCAGCTTGGTTTAGTTTTAATTTTCTATTAATTTTCATATCTGCTTTTCAAAGAGGTAGCTATTTTATTTAATCATGTAAGTTTGACATTTGGGTAGCCTAAGGGATTAATGTTTTTTGTTCTTTTCATTTTATTAGGAACCTTGGAGTGATGGTCTGTTCTTCCTTGTGTGATGTGGGTGGAATCATAGCCCCTTTTATTGTCTTCAGACTGACAGAAATTTGGCACAAGTTACCCCTTATTCTATTTGGTAAGATTTCATTCAATGCCATGGAAGATGTACTTTCTGTTCTGCCTAGTACAATTGACAATGCCTAGGGATGTTTCAGGTAATCGGAACAGTCATCAGAACCATAACTAAGGTGAGGTGACAAGGGCTTTTCTTCAGTGGATTAAAATTTAGAGGGTGCTGATAACACTTGCAATACTGCAGCAGCAGAGAAAAAAAATACTGAACTTAGCACCTAGTTAGCAAGAAAAGTTTGTTAATATAGGAGCTAACCAGATGATATGCATCTCTATCTGAATATGCTGAGGATATCTCAACATCTCCAACTCAACAGGTCCAGTGAAGAATTTATTATCTTCTTCTCCTTCTTATTTCCTTATTTCTGTGAAGTGTACCACTATTCTTCTAGTCCCCCACATTCAAAGCCTTGAATCTATGCTCCATTATTTACTCTCACTTAATCCCCACATCTATCCAGTTATTGAGTCTACCTCTACAAAATCTGTTGTAGTCAATCTTTTCTTTTCACTCATACTGTAACTAGCTTTATTCAGTCCCTCACTATCTCTCATCCTGACCATTGCAATGGACTTCTAATTGATCCTACCACATGCAGCCTCTTCTCTCTGAATGCCATCCTCCACACAGCTGCCAAACTGATGTCCTAAAGCATAGGTCTGACCATGTCATTCACTTGATGCTTCAGCAGCTTCCTATTAGCCCCTGGATAAGATGCAAACTCCTTTGACATTTAAAGGCAAGTCACTCAACTTATGTGTGCCTCAGTTTCCTCATCTGTAAAATGAGAACAATCATTTTATCTGCCTCACAGGGTTGTTGTGAGGATCAAATGAGTTAAATATGTAAGGTGCTTTGCAAAACTTAAAGTGTTATATGAATGCTAGCTATAAAATATTATTATTCTATTATCTATTAATTTTTTGGGTACAGTTGATCAATGAGCTAAAAGTCCATTCAACTATTCTCATTCAGTCTATGTTTCTATATTTTGTCCAAAAGCATATCATAAGAGACTTGATCAGATGTACTAAAATTAAGGTAGCCTACAATATTCTCTGATCTGCTATTCCAGTAACCCTATTCAAAAACGAAAGATTGGAAGAGTTTGGCATTATTTATTTTTAGTGAGCCTGTTCTGGGTCCTGAGAATCACTGTCTCCTCTCCTAAGTGTTTACCTATAATCTTGAATTTTATGTTCTAGAATTTTCCCAGGAATTGAAGTAAGATCACCAACCTGTGGGTTCTGAACTATTGTATACTTATTTTACATGTTTGAAAATCAGGAAATTTGCCCATCTTTTATCATTTTGTACCTCTCTCTGTATAATTAATTCCTCAAAGTTAAGAATAATAGATTAACAATAACATTGGCTAGTATTTTCAGTCCCCTTTGATGTAATACATTCACCTTCAGAGACATGAATATGTTTAAAGCATAAGACTTTCTTTCACCAACTTTCTCATTTATCTTGGGCACAAAAGGCTTCTTTGCCTTATTTGTCCTACTAAGGAATAGAAGAGAAACAATGTTCTAAAAGACTCCTGTTGTCCCTTAGCATTTTCCACAGCCTTGGTTTATTTTGGAAAGCTCTTCTGGCATTATTTTTATAGGATTGTGCCAATATTCTGTCTCTGTCCTTGATTATATGAATCTCATATACATGTCCTTTCACAATTGAAGTACATCAGATAACAACCTCTATTGCTGTCATTAGCAACTAAATAGTTGCTGTCATCAATCATTAGATTTCTCAGAATCTATCCATCCATGCATCCATCCATCCATCTATCTATCTATCTATCTATCTATCTATCTATCTATCTATCTATCTATCTATCTATCTATCTATCTGTTTTATTGGTGTCTTTTGTTTTATCACGGTCATTTCCATATAAATGTCAGCAAGAGAACAGCAACTATCTGATAGTATGTGCCACTTCTTGAATCTATTATCCCCCACATCTCTGAAGGAAAAAGGAAAGTATGTGCTTCCCCCCATCCCCCCCACACTTTCCTTATGGGTCAAGACATTACATTTATAAAATATTCAGCATTTCCTCCCATCTTCCTTTCATTTATATTGTTGTAGTCATTATGTAAATAATTTTCCTGATTCTGCTTATTTCACTCTGTATCAATTTATTCAAGTCTTCTCATGTTTCTCTAAATTCCTTATGTCCATCAATTCTTTCTTTCTTTCTTTTTTTCTTTTTTCTTTTGTTGGTGAGGCAATTGGGGTTAAGTGACTTGCCCAGAGTCACACAGCTAGTGAGTGTTTATGTGTCTGAGGCCTGATTTGAAGGCAGGTCCTCCTGATTCCAGGGTCGGTGCTCTATCCACTGCACCACCTAGCTGCCCCTTGTCCATCAGTTCTTAATTAAAAATACTCCATTATATTTAAAGGGCTATATATATCCAGCTGTGGAATCTCTGGATCAAAGCAACAGTTTAGTGACTTTTCTTGTGTAATTTCAAATTATTTTCTAGAATGGTTGGACTACTTCACAGTTTATTTGTGTGCTCATCTTCCAATGTCTTTTCCAACACCGGTTATTTCCATCTTTTAACATCTCTGACAATTTGTTGGTTGTGAGTTGAAACCTCAGTTGTTTTAATTTGAATTTCTCTTATATTAGTTATTTGAAGCAACATTTCATTTGGTTATTGATAGCTCACAGCTTTTCTTTTGAAGACATTTTTATATTTTTTTCTTATCTTTTGGAAAAAGACTCTCAATCATATATTTGTGTCATTTCCTTATATGTCTTAGATATGAGTTTTGTCAGAAATATTTGCTGCAAAGATCATTTTTCTCCCAATTGAAAATTTCCTTTGTCTCAGTTGCATTTGTTGAAGCAAAACTTTACATTTTATGTAGTCAATTTTTTTCTCTTTTCTCTTTTATGATCGCTCCTGTCTCTTGTTTGATAAAGAATTCTCCCCATAGTCAGAGATGTGAAAAGTACTGCTTTCCATTCTCCTCTAATTTTTTGATGATATAACCTTTTATATTTAGATTATGTGTCCATTTGGAACTTACTTTGGCATACAAGATGCTGATTTAAACCCATTTTTTCCAAATTGCTTTCCAAATTCTCCAGGTGTCCTTCCCTTAGGGATTGATTTTATTACATTTATTGAGCAATGGGCACTGCTATTAAATAGTTTCAAATTCCTGCTTATCTAGTCTGTTCCTTTGATCTGCTTTCCTATTTTTAATCATTATCAAGTAGTTGTCATGTTTATTGCTTTATAACAAAGTTTGAAGCCTTGAAGTTCTATGTCTCCTCCTTCCCTATTTTTTTCATTATTTCTCTTAAGATTTAAGAGCTTTGGTTGCTTCAAATGAATTTTTTTGGTCTAGGTCTATCAAGTTACCCAAGAGTAGTTTGGTATAGCATTAAGTCAGCAAATTAATTGAGTCATTATCCTTTTTAAAATATATTACATTGGTACAGCCTAACCACGTGCACTGAATATCCCTTCAATTGTCTTCCCTTTAGGTTCAGTATTGGTTTAACAAACATTTATTAAGAGCATGTCACAGGGGCAGCTAAGTGGCTCAGTGGATGGAGCACTGGCTCTGGAGTCAGGAGGACTTGAGTTCAAATCCAGCCTTAGACATATGATACTAGCTGTGTGACCCTGGGCAAGTCACTTAACCCCAATTGCCTCTACCAAAAAAAAAAAAGAGCATGTCACACATGATGCCTTGTTCTGGGCTTTACAGGAGTTAGAAATGCAAATAAGAAATGTTTCCATTGCTCAAAAACTCTTATTTTTCTTTCCTTGGGATAATTTTTTTTTTATCGTATTGCCAAAATCAATAAGATTTGGCAATTAGTGGGATATGAGGGGACTAGGGGATAAAGGGCACATGCATGAGAGAAATGGAAGAGTCAAAGATTACACCCAAGCTATGAAACTGGGTGACTAGAAAAATGATAGTGCCTTCAACAGAAAGAGGGAAGTTTGGGGGAAAGTTCATTTGTAGTTCTACTTTGGACAATTTAAATTTGATTGGGATTTATACAGATAGAGATGTCTATCAGGAAAGTGGCAATGTGTGGCTGGAGTTCAGAAAGTTCATGAGAAAGATTAGGGCTGGATACCAAAGATTTGAGAGTTATTTCAATTGATAATACAATTGAATCATGGGAGCAGATTAGATCGCTAACAGAAAGTACATATAGAGAAATGATGACTGGTTAGGCAAGTAGGTCAGGAGAGGAAGAATCTAACAAAAACCAAGGTACAGAGGATGGTTGAAAAATGCAAAGAATTCATGAAGGATGGAGATTGATAAAGGACCCTTGGATTTAGCTATTACAAGACTGCTGGCAACTTTGGAAAGAGAAGTTTCAATCAAGTGGGGTTGAAAGCCAGATTGTAAAGAATGGAGAAGCAAATGGGAGGTAAGAAGGTGAAGGAAGCAGGTCTAAATGTTTCTTTCTGGGAATTTAGCTGTTAAAGAAGGTAGAACAATAGCTTGAGAGGACAGGTAGGATTAAATGATAAATAAATAGGTAGAAGGTTATTTTTTTTTTTCAGAAAGAGGAAGAACTGGGTATGTCTGTGGAAAGAATAAGTAAGAAGAGAGTGAGAAGGAAAGAAAGTGAGCAAGAGGGAAGTAAGGAAGGGGAATTATTGAAAGGATAAATACCTACAGGAGATGGGAGAGGCAGGGATCAAGGTCACAAATTGGCTGTGGCAAAAGGGACAGCTCTTCCTCAGAGAGTGGAGCAAATGAATGGAAGATGGGGAAGGGAGATGTAGAGGATTTGAGATGCATAGTAAGGGAGAAGAGGAAGCTCAGGGCAAATTGCTTCAATTTTCTCCAGGAAAGTTGGAGATGAGGTCCTGAGATGCCAGAAATGAGAAAGAGGGGCACTGATGCAAAAGAAGTTTAGAACAAACCCCGTTGGAAATGAGAAATGGAGTAATTCAGAAGAATAAAAAGACCTCAATATAGCAATGAGGCCCAGCTGAAGTTAGATAACATTTCTAGTGAATCTAATCCCAATCTTAGATTATATGACTTCCTCCTGAGATGTTCAGCAGCATGGGAATAGGAGCAGAGAAAGAAAATCATGGGGGTAAATCAGGGCATGCAACTTTTGGGACAGCTACATGGCACAGTGAATAGAGCTCTGGGCCTGGACTCAGTAAGATTCATCTTCCTGAGTTCAAATTTGGGCTCAGATACTTTCTAGCTATGTGATCCTGAGCAAGTTACTTAATCCTGTTTACCTCCGTTTCCTTATCTGTAAAATGAGCTGGAGAAAGAAATGGCAAACCACTCCAGTATCTTTGCCAAAACCCAAAACCAAATGGGGTCACAATACAACTGAAAAAACTGAACAACAAAATCCCCAAGGCCTACTTCAGTGCCCCCAACATAGGAAGCACTAAATAAATGTTTGCTCTGTATGTCCGGTTTTTTTCAGTTGTGTCCGGTACTTCATGACCCTATTTTGGGGCTTTCTTGGCAAAGGGGTTAAGTGAGTTGCCTAAGGTCGCATGACTAGTAAGGGATTTGAACCCAGGTCCTCTGACTACATAGTATGGTTGGGTTAAAATTGCATGATCTTACAATTACCTATGGGCTGAACCTACCTCACTCTACTCCCTCCTTACTTGGGCAAGGATTCATTGAGGCAATCAGCACGGGAGGGAGAAAGGAAGCAAGCATTTATTAGGTACCAACTATATACTAAGCACTGCACAAAGCCCTTTACAAATACCACCTTCCTTGATACTCACAATAACCCAGGGAAATAAAGTTTTATTATCATCCTCTTTTACAGCTGAAGAAACTGAGGCAGACAGAAGCTGTGTGACATGTCCAAGGTCACACAGTTAGTAAGGGTTTGAGGCTGGATTTGAAATTGGGTTTTCCTACTTCTGGCCCAGCTGTCTGCTTTACAGGTAGTTCCACTATGCCACCTAGCTACTTCTAGCTGCCCTGCTCTCTGGTGTTGAAGAGACCTGAGATTCATGTGCAAATAGAATTAGCTAGAAGGAACATAGGTCAGAAGTCATAGGAGTTTAGATTTAGAGCTGGACAGGACCTTGAAGTCACCTAGTCCAACTCTAAAGGGAAATGAGTTGCCCAAGGTCCCTCAGGGAGTGAGTGGCACAAATCAGGCTTGGCTTTAAAATAAGGTCCATCCTTTGCGGACAAATCTATTGATCTTTTGGCAGCACTGCCCTGCCTTTCCTACAGTTCCCACCAAAGCACAGCCTGTAGGCAGATCTCTCCTTAGCTGGTTCACCCAACCCTCAGACTTCATATTGCCCTTACTTAGCTTCCTTATTTCTCAGTCAAGCTGCCTTGGTGGTTTTAACCTGATTTCACTGACATGCATACACTTGGGGGAGGCACAGCAGTGAGTGGGGCCTTGCAGAGGGCAGCAGTGTTGGGATATTTTTCTCAATTGTGCAATATTCTTGCTGTTTACTTCACTACATTCAAATATTTGGTAACCATAGTAAGTAACATGCCAGTATTTTCTAAGACATCTATAAATTAAAATGCTAAAGCACTAGCATCAACCCCACATTTAAAGAATTATTAACAATACGATACAGAGGGGACCATGCATATATTCCAGTCCTCCCCACCAAGACTATTATTGAGTCATCATCATCATTTGTGGTCATTACCTTTATCGTATTAATTTTTTTCCTGTTAGCAGATGTTAATTAAAATTGAAGACAGTACCAGTCTGTAGTTTTGGACTATTTCTCCATTCAGTTTCAAGTACCAATAGAGCTTACTTAATTTATTCACTCATTCATTCATTTAGTCATTTTATCTATTCCTTCCTTCTTTCTATTCTCTCTCTTTCCTTCTCCTTCTTTCTTCTTTTCCTCTCTTCTGTCCTCTGCTCTACTTCCCCTCCCCTCCCCTCCCCTCCCCTCCCTCCCCTCCCCTCCCCTCCCCTCCCCTCCCCTCCCCTCCCCTCCTCTCCTCTCCTCTCCTCTCCTCTCCTCTCCTCTCCTCTCCTCTCCTCTCCTCTCTTCATTTCACATAACTAACAGTCTTAGTGCCTGGGGGGAGAGGTTAACCAAACTGGTCAAGGTTACGCATTCAGTGCCTATCAGAGGCAGATCTTAAACACAGATTTTCCATCAGCAATCTGTGTACTATTGCCTTTGGGAAGGTCTCTGATAAGCAAGAGAATGTCAGAAGAGGAAGATCAGGCTGCCAAAGGGCTGGAGATCATGCCACATGAGGACATGTAGAAGGACCTGTCAGTCTGTCAATAGTTACTTATTAAATGCTTGGGGTTCAAAGAAGGGGGGATATTTAGCTTGAGATGAGAAGACATGTTGGGTCTGTGACAGTGATCCTCAAGTATCTGAAAGGTTCTTCTTTTTTCTTTTTTTTGGTGAGGCAATCAGGGTTAAGTGACATGCCCAGGGTTGCACAGCCAGTAGGTATCAAGTGTCTGAGGCTAGATTTGAACTCAGGTCCTCCTGATTCCAAGGCCTGAGCTTTATCTACTGTGCCCCCTAGCTGCCCCTGAAGGGTTCTTAAGGTGCAAGAGAGATTAGCTTTGTTCTGCTAGGCCCTAGGGGGCAAAATTTGGAGCAAAGAGTCACATTTTGTCTGGATTGAAGGAAAAACTTCACGGCTATTACAATGATTCACATGTGGAATTGGCTGCTTTGGGGCTCTGCTTCTTGGGTTTCTTTTTGTTTAAGAGGTTTTTAAGCAAAGGCAGGTTGGCCACTTCTTGTGTGTGTCGCAGAAGGGATGTTTTTTCAAGTGTGGGCTGGTCTAGACAGCCTTGGAGATCCGTTCTGTGGTCTCTTATAGCCTCCTTCCCAGCTCTGATTCTGAAATTTACCGAGGGCAGTGGGGAAAGCAAGACGTTTATAAGTGATGGGCCATGTTCTGGAGCCTTGACTTTGTCCCTTTTTATTACTTGCTTCGGTATCAGGGAAGGCTGGGGGCTGAAAGCAAGGGTGAGCCTTTTTTTAGAGCTGTCATAAATCTCCTGGGTTTGAGCCTATCTAAATGTTAAGGCCAAGCATGCAAAAAACTTTCATTGCCTCAGACAGGCCTTTTATGCTCAGCTGCCCTTGAGTGTAATGAATTACATCTGGTTGAGGACATTGGCTTGTCCAGCCTTGGACGTGTAAGGATGCACATGAGGTGTTGATTTCCTAGCATTTAGATTGCTAGAGGCCTTCCTCATTATGTGGGAGGGGGAAAATAACATGGAATTGCCTCTTCTAAGCTCAAAACTATCTCAGTTATCTCCTTGTGCGTTGTGAAAAAAGGCCTCCTTTGGGGGGAAGCAACAACTAAAATTTTCTTATTTACTACATACCCTCCTCCCCACACCTTGTTTCATTGACTAATTCATTGGTAAGAGGTGAGTTCCAGGCCCCCTATCTTAATTAATTTAATGCAATCAGTGTAAGGGCATGATAAACCTTTAAGTGTCCAAACACAGTGGTTCACATAATGTGATCCACATTTTTATCATCAAATCTAGAATGATCTCAGGAACATCTGCTGCTCATTAATTCTCTTAAATGTGCTTTGTTTGAAGCTGTGATTGGCCTGCTTGCCACTGGAATGGTGTTGCTCCTACCAGAGACAAAGGGGAAGGTGTTACCAGAGACCATTGAAGATGTTGAGAACCTGGGGTGAGATGCTGCTTCAGTGGTCCTCAGGGACAGAAAACCCTCATCAGAAATGCCATCTGCAAAGGATCAGGCTTAAAGTTCTGAATCTTTGGTTCTCTGCTTCCCACATGGAGAAGAGAGATAAGAGTCTCTATCTAATTCCACTAGTGATATGGTGCGAGGGGGTGGGGAGAAGAGACGGTGGACCTGTCTTTGTGTCAGGGCAGGAACATATATTTATGATGGCAATCATCGTGTGAAATTGAGGCAACACTTTCCATCAGTTCCCAGTGGGAACTTTTGTTATGTCCAAGTGGGACAAACTGCCTGCTGATTTATAGGAGGCTATAAATCTGTGGGAAAACAAAACAAAACAAAAACAAACCCCTTTGATCTGCTTTGAGAACCACCCCAAATGTTTGTAAAACTTTATATCATCTTCAAAAGAAGCTTATCTTTCAGGACCCAGAAAAAGTAGTTAATAGCCCTGATGGTTTTAGTGTTTCAAAAGAGAATGCATGTGTCAAAGTGGGGAAAGACAGTAAGATAGTATTTACAGTGTGACTACAAGTGTAGAGAGATTATATCAATCAATTAACCAACATTTATTAAGCCGAATATAATATTATTTATAATATTAATTTATTGTCATCCATTTATTATTAAGTATGTGCCAGGCACTAGGGACTCAAAGAAAAAGTGAAGCAGCCCTTGCCCTCAAGCAGCTTACATTCTTAAAAGTTTTATAAAGCTCTGAGTTGGGCACATTTTTGAAAACGACCTTCCACTTCAATTTTTAGAGTTATTCTGATTCCTTTGTCTACTGACTGAGTCCTTTTAAAAAGCTTCATTACTACTTTTTGTTTTTATAGCTATTATCCACAAGTGAACACCTCCTTGTAATAAGAACGTTTACTAAAACCCAGCAGATACAGTGACATCTGATAGCATATATCATATTCCACACCTCAATCCTTTACTCGCCTTTTGAAAAGGAGGTCTATTTCACCATCAGCTCTCTAGAAATGAGGTTGTTCATTACAACTGACAGATTGAATTTTATTGAAGACTACAATAAATTCTCAACCTTACTGCCAAGACAACAAGTATCTAAAGATATCATTGGCAGGTCATACAAATTCTATGGTGATGTGTTGTGGGAGAATGATAATAAAAGAGTGTCTATTTTAATGATTAACTCACTTCTTAACTCCTGCTAATACATCTTTCTTCAGTTCTAATGTCTTTTTGTTGTATGAGCTAAAAATAATTTTTAATGATGATTATTAATACATATCATCACTACGAGGTTTGGAAAACAGTTTACATATATTGTCTCATTTTGTCCTCATAACAACCCTGGGAAGTAGGTGCTGTCATTGACAGATGAGGAACCTGTGGGTGAGATATTAAATGACCAGGCCAAGACTGCCCACGTAGTGTTAGAGACAGAATCTGAACACAGATTAGATTATAGGTCTAGAGCTAGAAGCAACCTTAGAGATAATCCAGTCTAGACCCTTTTTGCCTTAAGAGGTAAAGAATCTAAAGTAACCAAGGTCACATATATAGTAAATGTCAGAACCAGGATTCAAAGTCAGGTCCTATGACCCCAAGTTCATCACCCTTTCCATGGTACTACTCTTGCTTTAATGACTCAGTCACTACTTCTTCATGTTTTAGCATGGCCATTTCAGTTATTTCATTCAGTCAGTCCCAAAGGACCAAATGAATGATTCAGGAATGGAATAAAAAATTCATATCAATTCTCTTCAACCCATTGCTAAAGAGATCATTTTCCATTTTTCATCTACTTTCAAGGGAAAATGCCAAGGGAAAGGACGTAAATGTTTGTTGATTTGATTTGAAGGGGAAGTTAAGTGAGGCTGTATTTCATTTCTCCTCGAACATGAGCACTTTCCATCAGTGTGACAATGTGCCGACATCCCAAGGGTTGAGTTTTCTAAATGTTGTCCTGGTTATCATTCATTCATAGTAATATTTCTCCAATTGTTCCTTCCCCCTCCCCTTCTTAATGACATAGGAAAACATGCTCAATACTCTGGCATTCTATTCCTTCTGGTCAAGTTCCAGCTGAAAATGCCTCATTATGCTTATAAAGGACAAAGAAATGTCTGGTGCTTAAAGATATTTAATATTGATATTGTTTGTCCTTCCTTCTTGAAGAAGAGAAATGACATCACAAGAATGATGTCTTGACTTTCATGTGAACCGGATTTCAGTGAGGCAGAACTACACAAAGTCATCAGCCTTACTCTCTCCTCCAGTGTCATCAAAGTACAGTGGCAAGACAAAAATCAAGATGACTGGTGATGGCTCAGGATGCAGTGGGTGACCTTGGCCTTTCTAAATTAACATCTTTCCCTGGTCTCTTTAATAGGATGAAAGTAGATATCTACAAATTCTGCAGAAAAACAGTTGAAAAAAATTATGATTAAATCAAATGAGAGTGTATATAAAATGCCTTGTAAACCTTAAGGCTCAGTGTTAGCTGCTGTTATTATTATCGTTATCATTTACAAAGCCATTCTAAGAATTCTCCTTTGTCTATTATATTTTAGTTCTTTCCTTTTTGCTCCCTGAATGACTCATTCTCCCTTCTAATTCCTGAACTACTCCTTTACTAATAGGTTGATTGATTTTGTCTTGTTTTGTGCGGTTGCTACAGGAAGAGGAAGCCCAAAAACACCAAAATCTTCCTTCAGACAGAAAAATCCAAGGATATGGGCAACTGAAAGAGATGTGGCCTCAGTGGAATGGTTTCTTGGGTCAAGGAAAATTGACTAACCATCAGAAATGCACAACGAGAAGCGTGCATTTCCTTTTAGTCTTGCTCCATTGCTACTCTGACACGTGCCCATCTGGTTTTTGCTCAGCTCTCCAGAAGGCAGTGACAGTTTTAAAAAATCATTTCTGGTTTTGTTAATGTTCTTCCACTAGTCTACTGAAGTCATCACTGACTTTTTACCTATTTATCTTTCAAAAAATCAAGATCTTGTGGTTGTGATCATGACTTTATTATCAGTCAATTAATAAGCATTTATGTACCAGGCACTAGCTCTGTGACCCAGGCAAGCCACTTAATGCTCAGATAACTCTCTAAGAGTATAAATTACCAGAGGGAATGACAACTGCATTGGTAAGGAAAGCTGTTTTTTCTGGAGGTCCCTATACCAATGATGAAATCACAAATCTAGGACTTCTTCCTTCTTTTGAACCCTTCTAAAATGTAAGTATTTTGAAATAAATGTGGTTAGATTATGACATTTTTTAGTATGAATAAGTCATAGTCAAAGATAATGGGGATCATGATTCAACAGTTATATGGTTCTACATTTGAGGATATATATAGTGGAATTTTCTCTTTTAAACTATTTTGTTTTTCAGACTCTAAATGACGTCTGAAGTTCCCTTCTAGCACCAAATCTATGATTCTAAACATAAAATTCCATGGGATTACATGAAGGATATGCAATTATTTTGTTAAGTTTTGTAAGAACAGGGCAGGTCTGTTGTGCTGGGTTTTACCATTGTCCATTGTTTCTGGATTTCTGATCTTTGATGATTGTCTTTCTTTGTTAAGAATAAACATTTGACTCTCAAAACTTTGGAGCCTTCTTTTTTTTTGGTATTGAGGAAACATTTATTTAATCTTAAAATAAAAGTACATATTATTAAATTTCTATTACAATTTGTTTGTTATTTTTTCCTCCAAATCTTTTGACATTATTTTTCAACCTTTCAAGCTCATTATAGAGGAGCTAAATTCAATTATTCTCTTGTCTCTTTTGCTATTTTCTGTCCTGTCTCTTAATTTTAGGAGGAAAAAAAACTGATACTCAGATAGTGCTTATAGTAAAAGTGTGAGAGCTAAACTCCTGTCATCTCCTATTTCTTTTGAGAAGCTTTTGTAGTGAACACTGCTGTCTTCCTGATGTCCAAAATACTGAGTTTTAGTCTTAAGAAAAATAAGGAATAGTGGTAAAATGGCTGCCCTGAATTTGATGGGCAGACTTATCTATCTCCTTCTGTCAGTTGCTGCTATAATAAAGCAGGCATTATACAACTTGATGATGACAGGCTGTAGTACTGGAATTCAGTGTCAAAACATTGCCTGCCTTTGTTTGGGTGAAAGAAGTCTTCCATAGACTTTAATCAACCTCTTTCAGAAACAGTGTGGTAGAGTATATCAGTGAGTCTGAGGTAATTTCTGCTTCTCTTCTAATTCTGGTAAATTCTATTTTATTTATTTATTTAAAAAAATTTTTTTTCCATATGCTTTTGAGTTGAAATTTTTTTTTCTCCCTTTTTCACCCCCCCCACCCTCCCCAAGACTGTGCACAATCTGACATAGGCTTTACATTTACATACCCATTAAACATATTTTCACATTAGTGAAGTTGTAAGTAAAAATTAAAACCAATAGGAGGAACCATCAGAAGGATGAAACAAAATTCAACTTAAGGTAAAAATAAGTGAGAGCGATTCGACTTCCATAGTTCTTTCTTTGGATGTGAACAGCATTATCCATCCTGAGGTCTCTGGAAATGTCTTAGATCCGCATAATGCTGAGAAAGGTTCAGTTTGACAATCTTAGTCATTGCATAACATGGCTGTTATTGTGTACAAAGTCCTCTTGGTTCTGCTCACTTCACTCAGCATCAGACCATCTAAGTCTTTCCAGGTTTTTCTGAAGTCAGCCTGTTCATCATTTCTTATAGCACAGCAGTATTTCATTACATTCATATACCACAACTTGCTCAGCCATTCCCCAATTGATGGGCATCCTCTCAATTTCCAATTCTTTGCCACCACAAAAAGAGCTGCTATGAATATTTTTGTGCATGTGGGTCCTTTTCCCATTTGTTTGATCTCTTTGGGATATAGCCCTAGAAGTGCTATTGCTGGATCAAAGGGTATGCACATTTTTGTAGCCCTTTCGGCATAGTTCCAAATTGTTCTCCAAAATGGTTGGATCATTTCACAACTCCACCAACAATGTATTAGTGTTCCAATTTTCCCACATCTCTCCAACATTTATCATTTTCCTGTTTTGTCATGTTGGCCAATCTGATAGGTGTGATGTGGTACCTCAGAGTTGTTTTGATTTGCATTTCTCTAATCAATAATGATTTAGAGCATTTTTTCATATGACTATAGATGGCTTTAATTTCTTCATCTGAGAACTGTCTGTTCATATCCTTTGACCATTTATCAATTGGGGAATGGCTTGTGTTCTTATAAATTTGTCTTAATTCTCTATATATTTTAGAAATGAGGCCTTTATCAGAAGACTGGTTGTAAAAATTCTTTCCCAATTTTCTACCTTCCTTCTAATCTTAGTTGCATTGGCTTTGTTTGTGCAAAAACTTTTCAATTTAATGTAATCAAAATTATCCATTTTGCTTTTCATAATGTTCTCTATCTCCTGTTTGGTCATGAATTCTTCTGTTCTCCATAGATCTGATAGGTAAACTATTCCTTGTTCTCCCAGTTTACTTATGGTATCAGCCTTTATATCTAAGTCATGAACCCATTTTGACTTTATTTTGGTATATGGTGTGAGATTTGGGTCTATGCCTAGTTTCTGCCATACTCTTTTCCAGTTTTCCCAGCAGTTTTTTTCAAAGAGTGGGTTCTTATCCCAGAAGCTGGGGTCTTTGGGTTTATCAAATAATAGATTACTATAGTCATTGACTACTGTGTCTTGCATATTTAACCTATTCCACTGATCCACCTCCCTATTTCTTAGCCAGTACCAAGCAGTTTTGATGATTGCTGCTTTATAATACAATTTAAGATCTGGAATTGCTAGGCCACCTTCCCCTGCATTTCTTTTCATTAGTTCCTTTGATATTCTGGACCTTTTGTTTTTCCAAATGAATCTTGTTATTATTTTTTCTAACTCTATAAAATAATTTTTTGGTAGTTTGATTGGTATGGCACTGAATAAGTAAATTAGCTTAGGTAGGATTGTCATTTTTATTATATTAGCTGGCCTACCCATGAGCAACTGATGTTTTTCCAATTATTTAGATCTGATTTTATTTGTGTGAAAAGTGTTTTGTAATTGTGTTCATAGAGTTCCTGGGTTTGTTTCAGGAGGTAGACTCCTAAATATTTTATAATGTCTACAGTAAGTTTAAATTGGATTTCTCTTTCTATCTCTTGCTGTTGGGCTTTGTTGGTAATATATAGAAATGCTGATGATTTATGTGGGTTTATTTTATAGCCTGCAACTTTGCTAAAGTTGTTTATTATTTCAAGTAGTTTTTTACTTGATTCTCTAGGATTCTCTAAGTATATCATCATGTCATCTGCAAAGAGTGATAGCTTTGTTTCTTCTTTGCCTATTCTAATGCCTTCAATTTCTTTTTCTTCTCTTATTGCTAAAGCTAAGGTTTCCAGTACAATATTGAATAACAGTGGTGATAATGGACATCCTTGTTTCACCCCCGATCTTATTGGAAATGCTTCTAGCCTGTCCCCATTACATATAATGCTTGCTGAAGGTTTTAGATATATGCTATTTATTATTTTAAGGAAGACTCCATTTATACCTATGCTTTCTAGTGTTTTTAATAGGAATGGGTGTTGTATTTTATCAAAAGCTTTTTCTGCATCTATTGAGATGATCATGTGGTTTCTGTTGGTTTTGTTGTTGATATGCTCAATGATGCTGATAGTTTTCCTAATATTGAACCAACCCTGCATTCCTGGTATAAATCCTACCTGGTCATAGTGTATTATTCTTGTGATAAGTTGCTGTAATCTACTTGCTAATATTTTGTTTAAAATTTTTGCATCTATATTCATTAGAGAAATTGGTCTATAATTTTCTTTCTCTATTTTGACTCTTCCTGGTTTAGGTATCAACACCATATTTGTATCATAAAAAGAATTTGGTAAGACTCCTTCTTCACCTATTTTCCCAAATAGTCTATATAGTATTGGAATTAATTGTTCTTTAAATGTTTGATAGAATTCGCATGTAAATCCATCTGGCCCTGGAGATTTTTTCCTAGGGAGTTCATCAATGGCTTGTTCAATTTCTTTTTCTGAGATGGGGTTATTTAAGTATTTTACTTCCTCTTCGGTTAATCTGGGCAATTTATATTTTTGTAAATATGTATCCATTTCACTAAGATTGTCAAATTTGTTGGCATATAGTTGGGCAAAATAATTCCTAATTATTGTTTTAATTTCCTCTTCCTTGGTGGTAGCTTCGCCCTTTTCATTCTTGATACTAGTAATTTGGTTTTCTTCTTTCTTTTTTTTTAATTAAATTAACCAAAGGCTTATCTATTTTATTGTTTTTTCATAAAACCAGCTCTTAGTTTTATTTATTAGTTCAATAGTTTTCTTAATTTCAATTTTATTAATTTTTCCTTTGGTTTTCAATATTTCTAATTTGGTGTTTAGTTGAGGATTTTTAATTTGTTCTTTTTCTGTTTTTTTAGTTGTATGCCCAATTCATTAATCTCCTCTTTTTCTATTTTATTTATGTAAGCATTTAGAGATATAAAACTTCCCCTAAGAACTGCTTTCCTGCATCCCATAGGTTTTGGTATGTTGTCTCATTATTGTCATTCTCTTGAATGAAATTATTGATTGTTTCTATGATTTGTTGTTTGACCCAATCATTTTTTAGGATTAGATTATTTAGTTTCCAATTATTTTTTAGTCTATCTTTCCATGGCCCTTTATTACATATAATTTTTATTGCATCATGATCTGAAAAGGATGCATTTAATATTTCTGCCTTTCTGCATTGGATTGTGAGGTTTTTATGCCCTAGTACATGGTCAATTTTTGTGTATGTGCCATGTACTGTGAGAAAAAGTATATTCCTTTCTATCCCCATTCAGTTTTCTCCAGAGGTCTATCATACCTAACTTTTCTAATGTTCTATTCACCTCCTTAACTTCTTTCTTGTTTATTTTGTGGTTAGACTTATCTAGTGCAGAGAGGGGGAGGTTCAGGTCCCCCACTAGTATAGTTTTGCTGTCTATTTCTTCCTGTAACTCCCTGAACTTCTCCTGTAAGAATTTGGATGCTATACCATTTGGTGCATATATGTTTAGTAATGATATTACTTCATTGTCTATGGTGCCTTTTAGCAGGATGTAGTTTCCTTCCTTATCTCTTTTGATTAGATCTATTTTTGCTTTTGCTTTGTCTGAGATCAGGATTGCTACCCCTGCTTTTTTTACTTCAGCTGACGCATAATATATTCTGCTCCAGCCTTTTACCTTTACCCTGTATGTGTCACTCTTTTTCAAATGTGTTTCCTGTAAACAACATATTGTAGGATTATGGTTTTTAATCCATTCTGCAATCCATTTCCGTTTTATGGGAGAGTTCATCCCATTCACATTCACAGTTATGATTACTATCTGTGTCTTTTTCTCCATCCTTTCCCCCATTTATGCTTTTCTTTCTCCTTTTTCCCTTCACTAGTGTTTTGCTTTTGACCACCCCTCCTTCAGTCCCTTCCCCCTTTTATTATCCCTTTCCCTTTTCTTCCCCTTTAGTCTTACTGCTTCTTCCCTCCCTTCTTTCCCCCCCTTTTCTTTCCCCCTCCCTTTTCTTTCCCCTTTTCCCT